CTGGGAGCCTCACCTGCATTCTTTATTTGTAATTGACCCCTGGTAGGCCTACCCATATTTGCAATATTTTCTGACAAATCAGAACAAGTCAGCTAAGAAGTACTTCAGAATGCTGAGAGAGCCACTATAGAAATGATGGATTGAGGGACATCTCTAGATAGCTACACATGGCTTGTGGAATGATTCAAACAGAATCATTCATCTTGCTAGCTGAAGGAGCATCAAAGCTTACATCCAAAGTTAAGAGATATTTATGGTGGTGGCTTGCCTCTGTTTAGATTCAGGGCAGATTTCTGTTGATCTAGGAGACGCCAGAGCACTCCTACCCTGCCATTCTGCTGAAGTCACTCTTCTCTGATTATTTCTTTCTTCCTTTTCCTTGAATTTAAATTTTTTTGACTTTTTTCATATATTTACAAATGGCATATGTACATGGGCTCATGTGTGTGTAGGTGTACATGTACATGGGTTCCTAGTCATGTGGACACCTGAGACTGATGCTGGGTGTCTTCCTCAATCACTCTCCACCTTGGGGCAGTCTCTTGACCTCGCTGCTTTGACTAGTCTGGATAACAGTTTACCTGGGGGTTTCACTGTGTCTGCTTACTGTGCTGTGATGACAGGTAGGGAGTTAATGTGTCAAGAAAAAGAAAACCTTACCAAACATTCAGTGAAATTTATCCTCTGCTGACTCAACTTCAACAATACTAGTTCAAATGGATAAAGTTTGTTACATGGTTTGGCCAGTGTTCAAGGCAAGTGAGACACTTTGGTTTGGCCATTTGAGGCCAACTTTGACAGTGGTAATAATGAGAAAAAGCCTTACTAGGCATGCATTGAGTGTTCAGAACCTGTTTCTCAACCAAGTACCTCACTATGTCAGCCGTAGACCCAAGGATAAGTGAACTACCTCTGAATTTGAAAGGCTCTGTTGGAAGATATTGACAAGAATCTCTGTGGTTTGACTTATGTCTTACAGCTGTTCCTGTGTTTTTTCAGATTAACATATAGACAGTATGAGGTATCCTAGATAACACAAGCCCATCTTTCCATGGCTAGTATAGAAGCAAGGATCCATTGTTACCCTTTACCATTTGGACTAGTTGTATGCTTGTTACTTTAAAAATAACACATTATTAAGCCTTTGAACACTGCCTGAATCGGCCACTGGGTGCTAGTGAGTAGTTGTGATTTCAGTGGAACAAAGGTTTCTGTACTTATGATAATGCTGCTAAATTCTAGGGCTGTGGAAAACTCTACTGATATGACTAAATACTATTCATTGGCCCAGAATCCTTGGGTTGACATAAATTGACAAGTCCCTGGTGGATTGCCAACTGTGAGAAATCCTGATATGAACAGTGTGAAACGGGGTATGGTTTCAGCAGAATAGACAAGCAGAGGAGGCAATAATGAAAGCTATATAAACTGCTTGTGGACATGTAGCTTGGGCCATTCTTTGGAGGTGAATGTACTCATTATAAGGAGGTGGTGTGTTTGACCAAGGTGAGTGCATGGCTGTGGAGATCATGGCAGAAAGCTGAAAGGAAACTAGGTCAGTATGAGACCAAAAAAGATTGCTTCTCTCAGGAGTCAAGGTACTGACTGATTTGAGGAGGGGATCCTCATGGACACCCATAATCTCCATTAATTTTATTAAATTCTATCAGATTTCCCTCTGAATATAGCAACATAAGGTATGTTTTATCAGTGAATAAGAAGAATGCCCAGGAAATTAAATAAATAGGATTGCAAAATGTAGTAGAATTCTAATATCAAAGGAAGGGGGGATGTTTTGTATCCAACATGTATGTTAGGAGAGAGTGTCTGTGGGTGACAGCTTTAGTGTCTGAGTAAAGTCATCTCTGACATGGAAGGAGAAGTGTTTTCAAGGATAATGCCTTTGGCTAGGGTAATGTTACATAAGGAATTATCATCACCCAGTAGTGACATCTGATACCACTGTGATGCCATCCAGAATATGGGATTAGGTTATCACTTACAAGGGGGAACCAACTTAAATTGATATGGGGCTCTAAATCATAAGCCAACAAAAGCCTCAAACCAGTTGTAATTGTCACCAGAATGGGGTATAGGTATAACTGAATGTTTGGAATAGTTTGTATTCAAATTGGATGCACATCAATGTTCTGGAGAGCAATCTGTGGTCAATCGGTCTCAGAGGAGTGTGGCCTCTGTGTGGTCATCAGCTCTTTTGGGATCAGATATAAGATTGAAAATGTGTCAAGAGCATGGTAAGGCCTAAGACAAATGGAAAGTGTTCTAGAGACTTATTTGTTATACTGATATTTGAAAAGGAGTGGGAAGAGATGGATCCAACTCACCACTATGTAGAAACTATCATGAGATATGAAAGTTCCAGCCTGGGCTAGTCTTAGTAAAATGTGTGAGTTGGGTTACTTCCAATGCCTTAGCTCAGCAGGGAATGGATGTCATGGCAAGGCTTCTTTTTTTTTGGATTTAGTATGTGTGGAGATTTGTATGGTTATCATTCATGTTTGTAAGTCTTTAACATGAGACTTCTAGAAGATTTTACCATGAAGGCAGCTTTTAGGCAGTGGCTCAGTGATTTACAGTAATGGAGAAGTTAGGATAGACCTAACATCTATAACTGACCAGCGTCTCCAGTGCCAATAATGACGGTCTTGAGGGTTGCAAAGCATGCAACTTCTTTGGTCTTGTCCTTTACTGGGGACATTTTGGGGGAAGGTAGAAGTCAACAGCTTCTACTAATTTAAATTTGTCAACAAAATTAATGAATGTAAAGCTGGGCATGGTGGCATGTGCCTGCAATCCCAGCACTGGAGAAGCTGAGGCAGGAATACTGCCTCAAGTTTAAGGTCAGCCTGGGATACCTAGTGAGTCCCAGGCCAGTCTGAGTGCTGCACTGCAAGTCCTTGACTCTTTCTTTACAGAGCCATTGCTATTCATGACCAATCTATTGGTGTGGAAGTGCAAAGGCCGCCTGTTGTACTACATTCTCATGATCACCCAACAGACATGTTCTGTTCTGGAAATAACGTCAAAAGTGCAAATATGACAAAACACCATGATTTGTGTGTTTTCGTGTTTTCACATAGTTAACTATGTCACCATTACTATTTCTTGTATGTGTTTAATATATTAGTCAAAAACAAAATTTAAGGACTGGAGAAATAGATCAAGAGTAGACACTTGTCTAGTATCTGCAAAGCTCCATGTTAGAACCCCAGAATTGAAAAAAGGTAATAAAATAAACTTCAAAAATTATAAGTAGGGTCTGGAAAGATGGCTTAATGCTAAGAATACTTCTAAGAATACTTGCTGCTCTTATAGAGGACTAAGTTCTGTTTCCAGTACCCACATGGTAGTTTCTATAACTCCAGGTCTAGGGGCTCCAAAGTCCTCTCCCAGACCAGACTTTGTGGGTACCTGTACACATGTGGTACATATATATATAAGCAGGTAAACATATATAGCATAAGTAAGAATTAATTGATCAATTAGTTAAAATATTCAGTCAACGAGAGTATGAATAAATACACTCCTTAGTTTTTGTAAATCTATGGAAAGTGTTAAAATTTCCTTTGGTTGTTTTACGTCCCAAAGTGGGAGGGGGAAGAGGGCGAAGGCAAAAAGGACTTCTCCTTTGGGCTTGACTCCTCCCTCATTCTGGAGCCTTTCTGTTCTTAAGAACAAGATGATTATTTTCATCCGTGGTCACTCACGTTCTACGGAGAACACTTCTATGCAATAGCACAAGGAGACAAAAGAGCCATCGAAATCATTAAGCTTTGGAAGAGGCAAACTCAGAATGGTTCTTCTTAAAGATGCTGGATCTCCTGGTAAATGTATCTCATTTATATTTATTCTTAAGTGGAGTTTAGAGATGTTCTGACAGCCAGTGAATGTGATTGGCACCGGACAGCAAGGGAATATAAAGGGGCATCCTATGGAAGTGCTTCTCAGCCATAGATCCCAAACTGAAATAGTAAAGATGGAAGCGTTGTTTTTACTGATTTCATAAAATTGATGAGGTGAAAAGTCAAGTCAGGGCCTGAAGTAAGCAGAACTACCCTGAGTATAAAAACAGGAGTTGTCCGGAGAGAGAAAGTGTGGGAATCGATAATGATTAGAACTTGATTTCTGACTTTGGAGAACTTTGCAAGTTTAGAGAACCAACTCAGTGCAAAATTCTGCTTCTTGATGTGCATGGGCCAGCTAAAATCATTCCTCAGTTTTATATGAGTGCTGAAGTGTGGTCACTATGGAGCAGAGAGCTGCAACAGGACTAAGCATGTTTGATGCTATGTGTGGAGAAGAGAGGTTAACTTTTGGGTATTTGGGATGCAAAGTAGACTGTCACACTGTTGAGAATGCTATTTAGCAAATACTGTTGGTGGAACAGTCATGACATTAGAAATATCATCCGTTCTCTCAGGAAACTTACTGTCTAACTGTGTGGACCAGGTAGACACGGAGGTGGAGGTGTGAATCATTGATGCTGAGAAGGTAGAGGGACAGAAGTTCAGAACCCTGTCCTGCGATGTACAGAGAGCATGTTCCACATCCAGTTTCATGGATGCCTCTTTTAGCCATGCAGCTTTAAGATCTGCCTTTAAAATTTGCTTCTACACCCACTGCTCTCGCAAATCCCCACTCCTGGGCTGCACATTAGCAAATGTATTTTCAAAGCTGTTCCACTGACACTGTGTTCTGGGTCTCTATCTTTCCTGTTTGCCTTCCATTTGGAAGAAAGGGTTTTTGGATATTTTTTAATATTATTATTGGTTTGGTCTTTGTCAGACCCCAAAGCAGGAACTTCTTCTTCTCCAAAGTCTCTCATTAGTAAGCTTCAGCTCTGTGCTTTGTCTCACAGGTTATAGAGGACTTGTCCACTTAGGTTGCTTCATCATGGCCACAGTTTCCCTTCTCGGCGCCTCTCCTGTCACCGAATCTCCTGGTGAGTAGTTCATCAAGTTTACTCATGGCCTTCGCCCACTCTCGTGTGAATCGTCACACAAAAATCACAATTCCCTGTGTGTTTTTAGCATCTAAAAACCCATGCTCCACAGAGTTGAAGAGCAAGACATTAAAAGCACACAATAATATCCCAGGCAGGAGACACTGAATTCTTAGCATGGTCTTCCTGCACACAGAACAGTCCCTATTACCAAAACGATTGAAAGCAGTGTGTGGCTGATGAAAATGGAAGAGGAAAAGAAAGCGCAGAGTTATTGGGACAAAAAGGAATTCTGGAAACACGTTAATAAATCCAAAACCTAAATTTTACATTTAAAAAATGTATTGCAGGAAGCCAGGCTGGTAGGACCACTGGGTTCCTCAGTTGAACCAAAATAACAGAAGAAAAATCTGAGAAAAGGAGGGAGGGAAAGGTTCATTTTGTCACAGAATATAAAAGGGAAACTATTCTCTCGATTTCTGTTTTAAAGGACTGGTTTTAGTTGATTTCAGCTGCTCTGCAAAATTTTACATAAACGTGTGAAATGGATATTTCGTTCCCTTTGGCTTGTCTTTCCATCCCCACATCGTCACCATCAACTTCATTTCTATTGTGTTTACGATAGGCAGAAACAAATGCAGCTCATCCTGTAACCCTGTGCATCTTGTTTGAGAAGGCAGACATCGCCACTGTTAAGGGGACCCAGACGTACAATTAAAATCCCATATGTTACTGTGCTGTTAGCTCTCCCAGTTTTGCCATTGTCCTGACTGAAGCCTGTGGTACTAATAATTCTATCGGGATACTATGAGATAGCATTCTCCTCTTGTACCACAGTGGGGTCAGGACGGGTCTCAACTCCGACGCTAAGTCACGCGTAAGTAAGCTAAACACAGATCCTGCTCTCTGAGCTCCTGTTGAGCATCGTTTGCCGTGTTCAACTGTTACTGCAGGAGGCATGAAAAAGGAACTGAGACTAACCGGTGGGGAAAACAACTGCAGCGGCAGAGTGGAACTGAAGATCCAGGAGAAGTGGGGAACAGTGTGCGGGAACGGCTGGAGCACGAAGGAGGTGTCCGTGGTTTGCCGGCAGCTGGGATGCCCAACTTTTATCCAAGCCCTTGGATGGGCTAACTCCAGTGCAGGCTCTGGACACATCTGGATGGATAAGGTTTCCTGTACAGGGAATGAGTCAGCTCTTTGGGACTGCAGACATGAGGGCTGGGGAAAACATAACTGTACCCATGAGCAAGATGTTGGAGTGACCTGCTCAGGTAAGGCTTACCTACGCCAAAGCAAACGCCAAGCACATATTTCTGACTCAAGTCACAGTGTC